ATGCAACAAATAGTTTTCAATTACGAAATAATTAAGCTTAATACGAAACCCTACTCATTGGTCTGAGGTTTAAAACAGGAATGGGTGTCACATAGCTAGTGGCATATTTAGATTCATAGTTGATAGAAAGTTAAAAAAAGGAGGAATATGATGTATGATCAAAGTAGTGTAAAAATATATATTCAGTGTAAAGACAAATATTAGTAAATGTGCAAATTTTGGATTTTGGAAGAATGTAAATTCCAAGAGAGTAAAACTAACTTGTGAATTTCCCTCAAAGGTACCTTATGACAGAAAAAAAATAAGCTCTGAGATCTAGGGTTGTCAAAATTGGGCTACGGGTCGGCTTCGGGTTCAATCCTGAACTGACCCGACACAAGTTGACCCGACCCATTCTTGCAAACGGGTCACTATTTTGAATCCGAACCTAATCCACTTCTGACCCGAGTCAACCCGACACTACTCGCCAACCCGGGTCAGTAATGAAAACAGCAGATGGAGGCTGACGGAAGGCATGCGGACAGCGGAGGGTGGAGGGCGGACGACGAAGGAAGAACGATGGTGGGTGTAGGACGAACGGTCTGGTGGACAGCAGCAGACGCGACGTGACAAGACGAGTTGATGCGAGAGACAAGCTGCATAACGAGCTGGCGAACAACAACAGGCTTGTTGTGGAAGGTCTGGCGGACGACAGTGGATGCGACACAACGAGCTAACATGATGGGACGCGGTCTGGTGCGATGTTTCTAGGTCAGTCTGGGTCAATTCCGGGTTGCCGGGTCAATCCGAATCCGATCTGTTTTTTCAAACGGGTCGAATATAGGAACCTGATCCCGATCCACTTTGAAATCGGGTCCGATATATATATCTCTCTCTCAAATAACAGAAGGAGAGAAGAGAGAAAGAGAGATGAAAATCTTTACGTTTGACCCGGACGAGCAATTATTACGTCAGGTTATCGGACGCACGTCCAGAGACCAATAATCAAGCGCCACATCACCTGGAGCTCGATATTGAGCACTCGGTATTGCTCGGCATACGTCCGGATTTTCGATTTTTTATCCTGACATAATAATTACTCGACCAAGACATACGCAGAGGAGGATCTAATTTGTGGCATAAGTTCATCTAACCAACAACTATATAAAGCAATTGACAAAACTATATATACATATGAGGAGTTGAAGTTATTTAGCCATTCTTCATACAATCAAATCATAAAGAGGAGTTGCGTAATGTATAGCAAATTCAACTGAATGGCTTCAACACATTATCTAACATCTTCTACAGTAAAAATTTTCAAAAATCTGGCACAGACGATTATGCTGAAGAACCTTATCTCGTCCTCAGCTTCAATTACAACATCAACGGGGAGAGGGTGGAGCATGATATTATTATTGGGTCAAGACATACCTTCACCGAATGCAATGCACTGTTTTTTCAAGCCTTGATCGAGAAAAAGAAGTCTATTCCATTGGATGCAATAATTGATCTGCAAGATGAGATTACAAGAGAAAGAATCTCAAACATCATCGCTTCGTCGGTGTACAATTGTGTTGGAGTTGAACGGCTAAATATACCCCAGGTGAATGTCATTGTGGAGATCAATCTAGAGGAAGAAGATCTTGTTTTTATGGAATTAGATGATGTGGAGTTCCTTTGCAAGAGAAGAATGAATTTGTGGCAAAAGAATGTTAATAAGAACATGTCAATGGCAGGGAAGGAGGATGATTTTTGTGCTATTTGTTTGCAAGAGATGGGGATGGGGGAAGGAAGAGTTGGCTTTCACCCCTTGCATTCATCAATTTCATTATACTTGCATTGGAAGGTGGTTTGAAAAATCTGGCTCTTGCCCGTTGTGCCGGTTCAAGATTGACCCATCTTGATTGAGGATTATGTTTGTGATGTTTATTTTGAGTTTTTATTTATCTTGTATAAATTGATCGATTGTAAGAAATTAAGAATCAGATGTTAAAAAAACATGTTAATAAATAAATTTATTTTAATTTTCTATTGAGTTTAGTCTAGCTAATATTAAAGATATTATAATGTTTTTATGGGATTAACTAATTTGATAGCAGTTTTTGAGACCGGACATAAGATGTATTTGCAGTTTGCTTTATTAATTTTTGAGGATTTATTGAATTTTAGAGTTGTGTTTGTTTGTGAATATGAAATATACATTCACTTTTGAATGTTTTATATATGCTCTGTTTATATACGTAAATTAAAATAAAATAAATAAAAATAAAACAAACAAACCAAATGATGTAGAGTATTCATGATCTATAATTCATCATGCACTTTTCTTTATTATTTCTCATATATTTATATCATAATTATTACATCATTTATAACATATTTAAATAATTTTAATATTTTTTACACCATCAAAGTTAGGCTTGAATGAGGAGAGATTATTAGGTGCGGAGTGCGGACAGGGAGAACATCCGCCACAAGTATTGGCGGGTGCTCGGTACCGAGCACCCGCTAATGCTTGTGCGGACGATGCGCACTCCGCACCTAATAATTTTTTTTGAATGAGACAGTTGGGAAGGAGGTGGTGTGTAGTCCTTGTGTGCACTAATTTCTTAAAGCTTGTATTGGAAGGTAGTTTGAGAAGGCTAGCTTCTGTCCATTGTATCAGGTCAAGATTAGTTCATTTTAATAGAAGATTGATTTAAGATTTTTTTTTTTAATTTATTCTTATTAGTATTTTTAAGTTTACCATAAGAATGGGCACCACATAACTAGTGGTCTATTTAGATTCTTAGTTGATAGCAAGTCGAATAAATAATGAATATGAGGTCAGAGATCAAGTACTGTCAAAATATCTCATCAATGTAAAGATAAAGATTAGTAAATTCACGTATTTTGGGATAATGCAACTTCCCAGAGAATAAACCTCGCTTGCCAATCTGCCCTCAAAGCAGTGCAATCCAGACAAGTGGCCACACTTAAGAATTGTAATGTCCGGCGACGGACAGAAGTCCGACGTTGAGTAGAAATACGACAATGGACGGAAGTTAAGCATCGGGTAGAAGTCCGACAAACATTCGGCGATGGGTGAAAGTCTGGTGTCAGGTAGAAGTTCAACGATGGGCAGAAGTCAGACGACATGAGGAATTCTGGCTTTAGGTAGAAATCCGACGACGAGCAGAAGCCCGGTGTCGGTAAGTATGGTGTCGAGTAGAAATCCGACGATGGGTGGAAGTCTAGCGACGAGTAGAAGTCTGGCGTCGGATAGAAATCTGACGACGGGTAGAAATCTGACGATGGGTGAAAGTCTAGCATTGGGTAGAAATCTGACAAAAGTCCGGCAACTGACAGAAGTTCAATGACAGGTGGAAGTTCTGAATAGGCGGAAGTTCGATGTCGGATAGAAGTCCGACGAAAGTCTTCCGATGGGCAAGAGTCTGACGACAGGCTGAAGTCTGGCGTCGGGTAAAAATCCAGTGACGGTTGGAAGTCTGACGTCGGGTAAAAGTCCGATGAAAGTTTTGCAACGGGCAGAAGTCTGGTGACGGGTAGAAGTCCGTCGTCATGCATAAATCTGACAATGGACATAAATCCGGCGACGGACAGAAGTTTGGTGTTGGGCGGAAGTCCGACGTCAGGTAGAAATCCGACAACTGGCAGAAGTCTGACAACGGGTAGAATTTCGACGAAAGGCCGACGATGGGCAGAAGTCCGGCGATGGGAAGAAATCCGGCAATGGGCAGAAGTCTAGTGTCGAGTAGAATTCCGATGGACAGAAGTCCAGTGATGGGAAGAAGTTCGATGTCGTGTAGAAGTCCGACGAAAGTCCGACGACGGACAGAAGTCCAACGACGGGTGAAAGTCTGACGTCGGGGAGAAATTCGATGACTGGAAGAAGTCCATCGATGATTAGAAGCCTGACACAAAGCTGACGACGAGTAGAAGTCCTACGAAAAGCTTGCGTCGAGCATAATCATAGCATCAATTGACTGCCAGGTGGAAGTCCGGCCACCCGGCGGTGGTCGAGGAGTCTGGTGGCAAGAGAACAAAAATTTCTCTTCTTCGTTCTCTTCCTTGCTTCTTTGATCTCCTCCCTTTCATGAGGAATGAAGGGTCTATTTATAGTTTTCTAAGAGTGACATGACCAATAAATAGGAGGAATATCTAGAGTAAATTGGGAGTGGTTTGAATGGACGGCCGTTGATGATTTCCTTGATCATAGACTATTTACTGGATATTTGAATGTTTTTATGATATCAAAATCTGACGATCTTGTGCTTGTTGGATTCATCTCGTTGTGCCGCACGATGTAATTATAAGCATGTCGCGTTTGGAAACTGTTTGGTAATCCAAATTATGGATTTTGAACCTTCCAAATGTGCTTCAAATCTTTGATTTGGACTCATTTGGGCTCAAATTGAGTTGAATTTGATGCCGTTGGATTTGTATTCTGGAGACGTTCAGTTTGACTACAACCTTGCTGGAATTGGAGTTCAGATGATCTCCGATTTAATTTTTGAAGTTTCCAACTTGATTTTACTTTGAGATTCGAGTCCCATCAAGATAATTTTTTGATGATATATCACATATCAAATCTTATAATTTTTCCCATTAAACATCTCAATAAATTATAGAAATTACGCACACGTTTGCGGATAAAATATTATTAATTTTTTTAGTTGAGCATCAAAAAATTTAAAAGGAAACCTCATAGATTTTCTTTCCTCAAAATCCACGTATTAATATCCAATGCATAAATAAACTAAAATTCAAAATTGGGTGTTACCATAAATAAGCAAATAGCTAAAACAACGGAGGAAACAGAGATGGAAATCTGTATGTTTGACCGGGATTTGAGTGGAGGAAGATCTCCTTTGTGGTTTATTTTCATCTAACAAACTACTATATTAAGTAATTGACTAAACTATATATATATCTATCAGGAGTCGATGCTAATAAGCTTTTTTTCATAGTATCATATCAGAAGGAGGAGTTGCGTAATATAGAGCAAATTCAGGTTAATGGCTTCAGCAATCTCTCTTTCTGATGACATCCACATCTTCTACAATAAAATTTTTCAAATATCCAGCCCAGATGATGATGTGGAAGAACCTTATCTCATCCTCAGCTTCGTTTACAATGTTGACGGGGACAGGATGGAGCATGATATTATTGCAACGTCAGAACATAACTTCACTGAATGCAATCCATCTTTTCTTCGAACCTTGATTGAAGAGAAGGAGCCTCTTCCATTGGATGAAATGATTGATCCACAAGATGCTGAGATTTCAAGAGAAGGAATCTCAAACATCCTCGCTTTGCTGGTAGACGATTGTGCTCGGGTTGAAGGGCTAAAGATATTGGAGGTTAACGTCATTGTGGATATCAGTCTAGAAGAAGAAGATTATGTTTTTATGGGATTAGATGATGCGGAGTTCCTTCACGAGAGACGGATGAATTCGTTGCAGAAGAATGTTTATAAAAAATTGGCAATGGCTGAGAAGGAGAATGAAATTTGTGCTATTTGCTTGCAGGAGATGAAGGTGGGGGAGGAAGTGGCTTGCACGCCTTGCGTTCACCGATTTCATCATACTTGTATTAGTAGGTGGTTCGAAAAATCTGGCTTTTGCCCGTTATGTCGGTTCAAGATTGATCCATCTTGATGGAGGATTACTTTGTTATCTTTATTTTGTGTTTTCATTTATCTAGTTTAAATTGTTCAATTGTGGAAAATTAAGAAACAGATGTTAAACTAAATCGTTTTAATATATTAATTCATTTCAATTCTCTAGCGACTATTAAAGTCATTATCATGTTTTAATAGGATTATTTAATTTGATGGCTTTTTTTTGAGACAGGATATAAGATTTATGGTCCGTTTGACTTATTTATTATTAAGATTATGTTAAATTTGAAAGATCTGTTCGCTTTTAAATATGGAATTTACATTCAATTTTGAAATATTTTTTGTATGCTCATTATATATATATATATATATATATATATATACAATCTAGCTCCGTATAGAAAAATTATTCTGTGCGGATGCCGAATGCTGTCCGGAGACCAATCAGAATGTGTCACAAGGGCTCGTTATTGCTGATATTGCGCATTCTGATTGGTCTCCGGACGGCATTCTGCGTCCGGTCTCTGCATAGAATAATTTCTCCTCCGTATATAGATGAAATAAAAAAGGGACAAATTCGACATGTGTCGTGATCGATGCTTCCAAATGGAAGGATGTCAATCATATGTAGAGGCAACATCAAAAGAAAAATATATTGACTTGTCCAATTCTCAGCTAGCAATTATCATGACGCGAAGGAGCTCAACCTTTGCACTTAGCATCTTAAAAATTGCACCTCAAGACTGTCCAATTATGTTTGGGTGTCGTGTCCGACATACACATTTGGATTCAATATTCTTAAAGGTATAGCCAGGTAGTCACTAATTGTAACAACTCAAACTCTTGACTATCGAAGTGTTATCCGTTTTGGCTTAAGGGCCTCATAGTTTTGTCTCGTTGCTATAACTTCTCATGAGGTTTCCATCCCAAATTTCTTCAGCACGGGGATGCTTAACCTCAGAGTTTTTTTTAATGAAATTTCAAATATTACACCAAAAGTCACCTCAATGTTTAAGAATTTAGCTTCTTTCTACTTAATGGGGTTCACAATCTTCCCCACTTAACTAATTGACGTCCTACTCAGTATCCTTATCCTAAAATCATCCATTATGTATATATATGATTCTAAAGGTGACTCCTACATGTTCAAGTAGTGGCTCCCGCTATATATCAGTTTGTCGCATATAAAGTTCAAGAGATGACCCCTATCGTGTAGCACTTTATCTTGTATATCACTTAGTTCATTTCTTTTAGCTGGGTTATTGCTCTAAAACCACTTTGTAACAACTTAAACTCCTAACTATCGAGGTATTATTTTCTTTGGCTTAACAGCCTCACAATTTTATCTCGTTGGTGTAATTTCCCAAGAGGCCACCCGTCTTATAAATGCTCTAGCAAGATCATGCTTAACATTGGAGTTTCCTAATAAAAAATTGACCATTACACTAAAAGACACCATGATGTTTAAGATTTTAGCTTCTTTCTACTTAAGGGTTTCACACTAATCACTCTCTCAAAGCTAGACTCTTTGAGTCAAATAACTCTGATAGATTACTCAAATGATTGGTTGAGTTAAGTGAGTTTCATATCTCGTACATATTGAGAATGGCTACTAAAGTCCTAGTAATGGCAAATTTCCTAATAGATTTCAATGACCTTAGTGACAAGCATGCAACATCAATTTTGGACTATATAATGTTGATGTAGCCTCAGGTGAACAAAGAATAGATTTAGGTATGATTCTAAAAATCCTCACAATGATAATTATAACAAAAGCATGCAACAAATATTTTTCAATTTATGAATAATAAATCTTAGTACAAAACCTTACTAATTTAAAAAAAGTTTGTTACAGAAATGGGTGCCACATAGCTCGTTGCATAATTAAACTCATAGTTCATAGAAAGTCAAATAAACGATGAATATGAGATTTGAGATAATGTGGTGTGAAAATATCTCTTCAATGTAAAGACAAATGCTTCGTTTGTGATTGTTTTCTTTCTGCTTTTTAAAGTAACTTTTTAGTACAAAAATTAAATTTTTTATACTAAAATGTTGCTTTAAAAAATAGAAAGAGCTATATATACACATCAAGAGTCGATGCTTTTTTTAGCTATTCTTCATCCAATCAAATCAAAACCAAATCAGAACGAGGAGTTACGCATTATATAGCAAATTCAAGTAAATGTTCAATAATCTATCCCTCCGACGACATAAAAATCTTCTTCAATACAATTTTTCAAATATGCACGGATGATAATGCCGAAGAACCGAATCTCATTCTCAGCTTCAATTACAACGTCAACAGCTAGAGGGTGTGAACTCCTTTTTACATCGGTAGTACGCGTACTTTGTGCCTTCTCAAACACTAATCCTTAAACCAATGGAGAGAGGCAGCGAACGTGGTGGATTCGGGCGTGGGTTTGGCCGTGGCGATCGCGGTGGGCGTGGTCGTGTTGGTCGAGGTGGTGGTGGCCGCCGTGAGGATGAGCAGAAATGGGTTCCCGTCACCAAGCTAGGGCGACTTGTAAAGGAAGGGAAGATCGCTAGTCTCGAGCAGGTGCTTCAATTTGCCGGGATTGAGGATGTCTTCACCTCTTCCCGAGGATCCACCAAGACTCTTGGCAACTTTGTTAAGGCAACTTTCGATTGTCTGATGAAGACCTATGGGTTTTTTAGTCCAGACTTGTGGATTGAGACTCGCTTCGCTAAATCACCATTCCAGGAATATACAGACCTACTTGCGAAGCCAACCAAGGAAATCCTTGATGATGTTGTTGAGAGGGCTGATGACTAAGTTCTGAGAAATATCCATACCACCGTCTTTTTTGGTATTTTTCTTTCTAGATGTTTGCAAATCCTTTCCCACCTTTTAAAAGACATTATTAGTTGCATTTTGTTCATGTTTTTTATTTATTATACTCTTGCTTGTCACTCGATACACATTGTTCCTTGTCATAACTTTTTGAATTGTGCTATTTCTAAGAGAAGATTAGCCTAAAAAAAAAACTGGGAGAGGGTAGAGCATGATATTGTTATCGGGTCAAGACACACCTTCGTCGAATGCAATGCACTGTCTTTTCGAGCTTTGATCAAGGAGAATAAGTCTATTCCATTGGATGCAATGATGATCTCCAAAACGAGATTACAAGAGAGAGAATATCAAACATCGTCTCTTCGTCGGTGTACAATTGTGTTGGGGTTGAACAGCTGGAGATCAATCTAGAGGAAGAAGATCTTGTTTTTTTATGGAATTAGATGATGTGGAGTTGCTTCGCAAGAGAAGGATGAATTTGTTTCAAAAGAGTGTTAATAAGAACATGGCAATAGCATGGAAGGAGGATGATTTTTGTTCTATTTGTTTGAAAGAGATGGGGGTTGGGGAAGAGTTGGCTTTCACCCCTTGCATTCACCAATTTCATTATACTTGCATTGGAAGGTGGTTTGAAAAATCTGGCTCTTGCCTGTTATGCTGATACAAGATTGACCCATCTTAACTGGGGATTATGTTTCTGATGTTTATTTTGAGTTTGCATTTATCTTATATAAATTGATCGATTCGTAAGAAATTAAGAATCATAGGTTAAAAAAACATGTTTACGAATAAATTCATTTAAATTTTCTATTGAGTTTAGTCTAGCTAATATTAAAGATATTGTAATGTTTTTGTGGGATTAGCTAATTTGAATATGAAATATAAATTCACTTTTGAATTGTTTTATATATGCTCTTTTTATATACATAAATAAGATAGGGAAAATCATCCTAAAGCTAAATCATTAATTGTAGACAAAAAAAAAAAAAGGGAATAGCCCACATTAATCACGTAATTTGAAAAACACAAATTATCTCATGAATCCCAAAACAATAACAAATGGTATTAGAAATATGTATAAGTAAATTAAAAAAAAAATTTTTTTTTGCTTACTATTTTTGAAAATGTGCTCTTATAAGTATATTTAGAAGTTGTTAAATAAACATATTGTTGCGTTTTAGAATATTCACGGTGGTAGAGAAGTATAAAGTTTAACATCATAGCATTGTACGAAAATTCAGCACACAAACAGATGAAAGAGATGATGTAACATTTATAGGAGACACCAAAATTTTTACGTGGAAAACCCTGAAAAGTGGAAAAATCATGGAACCTGACCCAGTTTTAATGAATCCACTAGTATTTATAGTTGATTACAAATGAGGCCCTTCATTGGAGGGAAGGCCTTGGCTTGATGTAATAAGTATATGTTGACTTCATTATTCAAGGTCAGCATTCTCTCTATGTCAACTCTTAGTGACTAGGTCTTCGTAGCCTAGTGTAGGGGTCGTCTTTAGGACTCCCCTTCTGTGGATACCCACTGATGTAGCTTTGATTGAACCTCCTAATTCGACCTAAATCAAATCAAGCCATTTAAAGTTAATAAAAATTAAATTCATTAAAATTGACATTATTCGGACCTAATTTGTTCATATCAACGCGAGTTTGACTTGCCCAAATTGTTTCGCCCTGACTTAATTGAAATCAAAATCATCGTTAGTAGAATGAAATTAATCATTTTAAATTACTTTAATTTAAAAATTGACATAAGACAATTATTTTTTAAATTATCAATTTTGTTCCAAATTAATCTTTAAATAATTTTCAAGCATCCAAAATAAAAATTGACTCAACCCCATGATCTGACCCAAATTAAATCTAGTTCGTCACGAGCCAGTTAAAATTAAATTGACATTTAACGAATTAACAGATAAAATAAATTTGAGTCAGCTCAAATTAGAATTCCTATTAAATTTTGTTTAAATTATCATATTAATTCCACTAAAATAAACATCTATATATTTTTTAAAATTAATCAATTAAAGAACTTAATATATGGATGCATCTAATTAAAATTAAAACGTTTCTTAATTTTCCATCTTAATTAAATAAAAAATTTAAATAAAAATGGTTTTGGGTTCGGTTGGGCCGTTTTAACCGCACCGTGCACGTTTGCCCCTCTCCCTATCTATTCACAAAACAAACTTTTCCTTCGCAAATCCCCCGTCGTCTCCTCTCGGCTCGCAAGAAGCTCCAACGCAGAATCCTGAAGGCCGCCTCTTCCTTCTGCATCCCGCCGCTTCTAGTTGCTCAGTCCATTGACGCAGAACGTTTGACTGTGTAAGATTATGCTAATGTTTTTTTTTTTACTTGAATTCTTTGAAAGAATAAAAAAAAATATATTAGTCCATTAAAATGCCACTCCTGCCGTACAGAACTTTGAAAACTCCACTTCATCATTATAATTTATAAGATATAGTCGAATTTTCTGATTATTTATTTATTTTATTATTTTGATTGGATATGGCAGAACGTAACAGGATGTTGAGTAAAATTAGGGTTGTCAATTCGGGGGTCTACGGGTCGGTTTTGGGTCTAACCTGAGATGACTCGGGTGTAAGCTAAACGGGTCAAGACATACAACCTAGACCCGACCCGCACGGGTTACCGAGTTGACCCGACCCGACCGGCAAACCCGAACCGGGCTTAATGGGATTTCTAAAAATTTAGTTACACGACATCGAATGGATGTATTTTTTATGTCTTGTAGTATGCATAGTATAATCCCAATGATTGGATGTATTTTTTTGTTAGTTTAATGATAAATATAGAGGCATATCTTGATATTATTGCTTTTCAAAGAAGTTTTATAATAAAAAAAGTTTATTAAAATTTAGACTATTTAGTTACACGACATCGATTATTTGTATGTTTAAAAGGCGACTCAACGGAGTTCAAATAACTTCTTAGTCATTGTTTAGAACAATTTTACATCATTATTTTTTCTTTAATTTTAATTTTTTTTTACTAACGGGTTAGCCGGGTCGACCTGCATGTTTTCGGGTCAACCCGACCCGTTTAACAAACGGGTTGACCCGAACTCGGATTTTATTTACACCCATATATGAATCTACTGTATAGTTTCAATATGATAGTGTACTGAATTCTAATCTATTTTATTAAATAATTTATTAAATCATATATTATTTAATTTTGATAAAATAATGATTTGATAGATTTGAATTTCATGGATGATTGTTTATTCCTTCATATCTGCATACTTGTATTACATATCTTCATATATTTAGTATTTGCTTTGATAGAATTTTTTTTTATACTTCAAATTGCATTCTAGTATTTACTGTGAAATTATAAACTAATCTCTTCTAGTAAAAAAAATAAAATTGAAGTTATGACTTACTTAATAAAAGATTTAAAAAGAAAAAGAAAAAGAAGAATTATTTTATGATAAATTTGTTCCTATCCTTCAAGTATAACTCGCTGACTAATTTATATAGCAAGTAATTCATGTACGTAGTGATAGATTTGATTATTATTATGTCTCTCAATACCTTATCCAATTTAAAAAAAAAAAACGTATGATTAATGGTATAAAGGTGTGAGTAAATTAAACAATATTAGATCAAAAATGATTTACTTTTCTTACTATATCACATGATAAAGCAAACCTTGGTTCAAGAGGGAAATATATATATATTGGAAGGAAAATCAAATGTATCAAAGGCGCTACACTACGGGAAAATTTTCTATTACCGGCGGATTTTTCGGCTACTTTACGGCGGACTAATTTCCGACGGATTTTCTGGCGGAATTCTGACGGATTACAATGAAATATTTCCTACATATTTTTTTGTAGCTTTTCCGACGGATTTTCCGACAAACTTTAATAATTTCATAAAACAAATTTTTTTCAATTTAAATAATTAATAATTTTATAGCACATTTTAATTAATTATTATTTAATAATTTTTAAATTAATTATTAATTTCATATCTTATTTTAATTAATTATTAATTTCATATCAAACTTATCTTAATTATAATAACATTAAGAGAACTCAAGTTTCTATTCTTCCTTCTCTTCCTCTCTTTTTTTCTCTCTTCCTTTTCATGATGAATGAAGGGTCTAATTATAGTTTTCTGAGAGTGGCAAGGCCTATAAATAGGAGAAAGATCAATGGTAAATTGGGAGTTGTTTGAATGGACGGTTGATGTTGATTCCCTTGATAATAGTTCGTTTACTGGATATTTGAATGTCTTAATGATATCATAATTTGAAGATTTTAGGCTCATTGGATTCATCTCGTTGAGCCGCACGATTCGATCGACTATAAGCATGTCATGTTTGATAGTCCAATTTATGGATTAAACCTTACAAATGTGCTTTAGGTAACGGCCCTTCTTCTTTCCCGCATTTTTCCGGTTGACACAGAAAAATGGCGTGGGTGAACAGTGCAACGCCCCGCAAGCAAATTGAGGATTTTTTGGCGTTCGGCTGGAGCGAAGGAATGACGCCAAACGCTCGTTTGGCGTTCGGTTGGAGATGTCCTAAACTAAAATTCAAAATTGGGTGTTACCATAAATAAGCATTAAATTTATCTAAAATTACGGATGGAGAGGAGAGAGGGATGGAAATTTGTATTTTGAGCGGAGGAAGATCTCGTTTGTGGTATATTTTAATCTAACAAACATCTATATTAAGTAATTGACTAAACTATATATTTACCTATCCGGAGTCGATGCTAATTAGCTATTTTTCATACAATCATAACAGAAAAAGGAGTGCGTAATATAGAGCAAATTCAGGTTAATGGCTTCATCAATCTCTCTCTCCGATGACATCCACATCTTCTACAATAAAATTTTTCAAATGTCCAGCCCAGATGATAATGTGGAAGAACCTTATCTCATCCTCAACTTCATTTACAATGTTGACGGGGACAGCATGGAGCATGATATTAT